AAGAATTTTATTATGTCGACAGTGTATAACTTTATGAAGGAAAGAAGACAATTTTCTTGAAAGTCACTTGAAAGAAGATAACTTTCATTTTCTCTTACTTTTTTTTTCTTTCTTTCTCTTTTTCACGAAATAAATTTGAATAGACATAAAATTTGATTTGGATCAAGGATATGGAGCGATAGAAGGTTTTTGAAAAGAGTCCTTTTGAAGAGTGAAGTAAAAGAGATGAGATGAGAGAGAAAGAGAGAGAGAGAGAGAGTGAGTGAGAAAGAAAGAGAAGGTTTTTCCAATAAGGCTCTCGTAAATAACAAGAGCTTTTTATGGGGGTTGTCATCCTCGATTTCGAAGCGAGACGTCCAGTGATCCGAATCCAACGATCCTTTACCTCCGGAATCACCTGTTGCCCTTTCGCTAATCCTCTTTTCCCTCGACCTTTCACTTCACCTCCTTCACACAAAATACGTTAATATTCTATGTTAAATAATCCTGTCGATATTAATTATATGGTCACACCAGAGAAATGGATAAAGAGACAAAGAGGAAGATAAAGCGAGAACCAAATTCATTTTGAATTCAGTTTGTAACCTCCATATACCACTAACCAGCACCTGTTGCCCTAAATAAGAGCAAGTACGTTGCATTTGCTTCAAATGCTTCTACTTATTTTAATATTAAATGCATATTCCACTTTTAAACATAAAATTATACTTACACCATGCATTTTGTATTTCAATTGTCATTTATATAGTTTAAAATTCTATTTTCATACGAGATTCATGTGAATATGCAAATTGAATTCAATTTTTTTTTTCACACATATCGATTGTGTGAAATTTGAAAAATTTATATTTATTGCAAAAGAAATTGTTTTCTAATGCTACAATTGAGGAAAAACATTCGAGAAGTGAGGTTAACAAATCATCTCCCCACTTTTCAATATTGCGCGCGCAGCGTACAGTGATTGGCCGCCCCACTTCTTTATGCTGCGCGCGCAATTCCACTCAAAACTTTAGAATCGTTTTTTTCATTATTAAACTAATAATAATAATAATCGAAACCAATAATATTTTTTGTATTTAAAAAGTATATTTACAGGACAATTTTAAAACGATACAAAACATAAAAGAATTTCAAAAGACAATAAAGTTATAAATAATCGAATTTCATAAGTGTTCTTATTGCATGCCAACAAGATAAAACTGATTTCCGAATGATGGATAAAGCCAGGCGCATTTGCGATTCAATCAATGAAATCAAAGCGAACGGGAAATGATGCAGGCCATTGCTAAAACCTCTATTCTCGTTTTCCTCTGCTATCCTACAACCATCGAGTTTCCAACCCCTAAAGGCCATCTCTTTTCGTGGACATTGTGCCAATATGTATAGATATGTGTATATATATATATATATACATATACACACATAGAAAATGGACACATACCTATTGAAGAGCGCATACTCGATTCCCTCGTACATTTAGGCAGATTGTCAGTGAATCGCCTTGCATGTAATCCCTTTGAGTATTTCACGCGTTCGAAGCTCACATCGTTAGCTGGATATGTACCGAAAATGTAACAAAATAGTTTTTCATTGAAAATGCCAAAAAAAAATACTTTACTATTGTCTAAAATAACAGACAAATTCAAAGAGATTTTCAAATTTTTTTTTTTTTTCATATCTGAACAATAATACAATTTTTTCTCTTTTCGACTAATTGACTGACTTTTATTGTATATTTTATTGATACGAAAAAAAGGTGTTTATACAAAAAAAATAGTTGAGTCAACTTTTGCATATTAATTTTAAATTATAATCTTTTCGGTAATCACTTATGAAAAATAGTAGATATGAGATGAGCAAAGTAAAATCTTATCTATGAATAATTTTTAATTCTATAAGTTGAGAACATTGCATGCGATTGATGTTCAGGAGAGGGGGATGACCAATTAGGCGTCGAGTCTCACTTTAAAAATGCGCGCGCATGTGGGAAAAAAAAGTAGGGCAACCAATCATTGGCCATCTACATTTATCGTCAACAACAAAACAGTGTTTCTCAATCTTTATTTTTACTCATTTCGTTTAATGTAATAATATAATTTGAAAAATAAATAAATCTTAAAATTATAATAATATTTCAAGAAATTTTTCAGTGATTTCTTTTCAAACAAGTAAATTATTCATTTGCAATTTAAAAAAAAAAAAAAAAAAGTAAAACGATAAATGGAAATGAAACACGAAATGGAGAATAACCAGTTGAAACGTATAAAGATTTCTTTTGATCTAAAGAGTGTTCCTTATTACAATTGCACAAGTAACTTAATAACTGGGAAATCTTTGAATTCATTTTTCATCAAAGCGAAACTGCCCCCTTCAACTTTACTAGTAATTATTTTTCAGGTAAATAAATTGCACTTTATATAAATGAAATGCAAATGGAACTTCCAAAGGATGAGATAAACCAAGCTTTTTTTTCCTTTTTTTTTTGCATCATTTATAAAAGAAACTGCAAAAAAAAAAAAAAATTATAAAGATGCTATTTTTTGAACAAAATTTGAACCTCATCTATTTTTATCTACTAATTTGATTCAGTCGAATTTTCACCGTTGGCGCATTTTGCATTACTGTGTTATCTAACTTTGTTGGTACGGGGTGACCTCCTTTTCTCTTCTGCGCGTCAGGATAAGATAATGTTACCCCTCTTTCTCGCAGGAAGTTCAGACGAAGCGCGCGAAATTCAATTTCATCAAAGCCCTGGGTCCGAGAACTTCCTGATTATCCTGCACACTCGTTATCATCAAAGAGTTTTCCCAATTTTTCTCAATTTCCTCGTCCTAATCCACGAATTACTATATATATATATATAACTGATCCTTTTTTCTACGATTTCACTTTTTTTTTCCAACGCCCTTTATTCTTGTGCGATATCTTTTATTCCTATGGAGGAAAAGTTCAAAAAACCAAAATCGTATTAGTTCTACTTAAAATTTAAATGAAAGTTGAAGCTTCCTTTTTTTCATCCAAGTGGAACGATTCTTTGCCGCTTAAAACGTGAGGGTAAAATTTTAAATTGTACAATTTACATGAATGTCCCTTTTTCAGGAGAATTCGACGAAGATGAGTAGAAAAAAAAGGAAAAAAAAATTTAATGCACTGGAAAACGAGAAAAGATTCGCTGTAAATTACAGTTAATATATTGCGAAATCTAAAAATGATTTTTAATGAGAAAATTATAATAAAAAAACTTCACTTTTCTTTAATTTTCTTTTGATTTCACTTTCACTTCACTTCACTTCACTTCACTTCACTTCACTTCACTTCACTTCACTTCACTTCACTTCACTTCACTTCACTTCACTTCACTTCACTTCACTTCACTTCACTTCACTTCACTTCACTTCACTTCACTTCACTTCAATTCACTTCACTTCACTTCACGAGAAGTGAATATCAAAAAAATTGAAAGTGGAAATGAAAGTGAAAGTGAAAGTGAAAATGAAAGTGAAAATGAAAGTGAAAATGAAAGTGTAAATGAAAGTGTAAGTTAATTTAACTATGAAATAATAATAAAGAAATTACATTAAAAAATCTAAAATTTTAACAAGCATTAAAAGTAATATGCTTCACGATTGAAAACATTCGCAAGTAATTTTCGTCACATCGACTTTATCCAGTGCTACACGTTCTTTGGAGAAGTTTAACCCATTAAAGTCCATAATACCAAGAGAGTAAAACTTTTCAATCAATATCCAGAAGAGCACTTACCTAATAGCAGTCGGAGAAACATATACTTTTCCTTAATCACATAGATTATCTACTTGTTCAGTTGTATATATATATATAAAGATAAAAGACAGCTTTGACGGATTAAATAAACACTTCACTACAATTTTTTGAATTGTTGTCGCACAAATATTTTAATTTGCCTTTTATTTTTCAAATTAGTAAATTTTTATTATCTTCATAAACAATTAATATTATTATTTCTCTTTTAATTATAAATTTTAACTACGCTTAATGAAAAAAAAAAATATCAATAAACTTTTTAAAAACATTAAATATAATTTGTATCCAATTAAAAAAATTTATATTACTAATGTATATATCTGATATAAATGAATTACACTTTCCAATGAGTTTATAACAAGTTTTATTTAATTAGAGATTAAAATTATTTATTTATATAGAAGAATTAAATTTTTAATTTTTCCTTTATTTTTCCATTATCGTTTATGTACATTTATGATATAAATTTAAATTTCTATTTCTGTAAATGAATATTTTAATAATTTCTCAAATCTGACAGTAAATCAATATAATAATAAAAAACTAATTATATATTTATTATAAAATTTCATTATATGTAAATATTTTTTTATATTATTAATTTTTATTTATTATTATTTCTATTTTTTTATTCTTATTCGAGAAATTAAAAAAAAAAAAAAAACTTTATAAAAAGCACGTTGATAGATCTAAAAAAAAAAATTTGAAATATTTTTTCAGTGGGTAAAAAATTTAAGTAAAATGTAACAAAGTTATTTTAATAAAAAAAAAAAAAAAAGATAAAAATGTGCGCACAGCATATATAGTGAAATATAACATTTTTTTTAAAGCACATATATCTCTCTGCGTAGACGTTACAATAAATCGACAAAATTTCATTACTTTATCTACAAAACATTCTCCAGATATTGTATATATATATATATAGTTAGAAACAAGAAAAACACATGGTACCCACATCTGGACAAAAATGCGCTCAACATTTTATTTTTCGTATGCTATCTTAAAGAATTTATTTTTGTTTTTTTTTTTTTGTTTTCAAAATTACAGTAAGAAAAATGTGTAAACCACATTGTGTTGTCTTTTCTTTTTTAATTGATTTTTAAAGAAAATTGTAACCAATTTGAAAATAAATTTCAACGAAATATACTTTTTTCAATAAAAATTCCATACCTTTTCAATTTCACTATAGAAATTTTGTTAATAATAATAATAAAAATAATAATAATAATAATAATAATAATAATAATAGTGAGAATAATAATAATAATAGATAATTGAACTCTATTGCTATACCAAATGTGAAATATTGATCAAACCTAGGTCATTAGTATTGAGTCAATATTATTGAAAGCTTGGCTTGTCATCTCCAAAGCAATAATCAACCTGCCAATATTGGCCCAATATATAGCTATAGAATTGGTATTTATTATCTAAACATTTTGAACGGATTTCCACTCTTAACATTTGCTTTATAACTTATTTATTTGTAGAAAAAAAAAAATTTATTTTTAACCAAATATATTTAATAAATACAATTTACTTAACTCTGTAATTAATAATAATTAATAATCAAATATTTGGAAAAAAAAGTAATAATGAAAAAAAAAATTATTTACTTCTTTTGAAGGAAAAGGGGGACAATTTTATTCATTCTTTCTTTTTTCCTTTTGTTTTCCATTGGTGTGGATGGGGTGAATCGTTTTGCTGGATTTTCGGGAACAGCACAAAAACAAGAGGAATTTCATTAAACGATAAGTGACATAGAAAGCGGTCAAGAGAACGACAGCGAGGAACAGAAAAACGTCGAGAAGGTAATATTGGTACCATGGTAAATCCGCCCCTTCACTTCGAAGATAACGACGTCCGTTTCCCCTAGCGATGAATTCCGACCACCAGACTGCTGTTTCCAAGGGACTTGCTGGTCTGTCTCTGTAAGCCCTGGACAGTGCCCGGGCATTCTCTTGATAACTGTAATAAAAGTCAAATCGATAATTTCATGTTGTTGTCTTTTTTTTTTCTATTTTTATTTACGATCTTTCGAGACATGTTATCCCATTCACTTTTCTAATACAATAAATTTTTCATCTATAACTTAGAAGAAAAAGAAAAGAAAAGTAGACGAAAGAAACATTTTTTAAATTCAATGATAGTTTTAAAAAGAGGTCAAATAAAATTATTATAAATTAAAATATTAATTAATTAAACTTATTGTAAAATATGTAATGATAGTTAGAAATCTGCTGTTAAATATTTATACTAAATATTATCGTGCGTCGATAAACATGTTACCGACCGCGGAGCGTACGAACGTAGTACCCGATTTCGCCGCGCGAGGCGCATCGCTGAGCTCTCTCGCATACGCTCAGCCCACCGATCGGCTATATAAGCTGCCCTTCCACTAAAGACCGTCACTCTCGTGCTACACGGAGTCGAGGTGGGTCTTACCCCAAGGAGCCTTCCTTCAGGAGTTTTACTTCGAACAAGTATCGTAGAGAGTTTTACCAACAGTAAATCGGTTTTTGTAATATAGTATAAAATAACGTAACGTAAAGTAAATAAAATGTATAGTAACGTAACGAAAATGTACAGTAACGCAATATTGTAATCTCCGTTAATTTCAACTATTGTAAATAAATAATTTTTTTTTTGTAATTAACCCTGTTAATATTTTTTATATTTTAAATCAAACGAACCCTGGTTCAGCGAGCTAAATATTGATTCCTTAATTACAAACATTACAAATAAAAGAAATAAATTCAGTGGCCTTGTGTTTTGTAATACAAATTTTTTTTTTCTGACTAAAGTATAAGAACTTGTTAAATAAACTTTCGACTAATACATTTTAAAGATTTATCAGTATATAGGTGTGTAAAGTTCAAAGGTTAATTCTATTTCAAGAAAATAAGTTCAGTTAGAGCTTTTTCCTTTTGAAGGAAAAAGAATTCTCGTGCCTTTTCGTCTGGCCTTTTCTTTGCTTTTAACGGAATACGAATTTAATGTTCCTTTCTACAAGTTGAACAAGAAAGAATCAGGAAGTCGATAGCTTTTTAAGAGAAGTGTACATTGGTAGTCAACGAATATAAAAAAGTTTATCTCAATAAAAAAAAAAAAGAATCCTAATATGATTTACATTTTAATAAAATTATAAAAATTCCCTTTCTCCTCTATTTTCAATATTTGACTTCGACGAAAGTGGAAATGGAAGTGAATGTGAAATAGTCAAAAGAGAAATTACATAATCGAGAATCTTTAATTGAAATTATTTCTCGTTAAATTTTCCAACTCTAATAATCACGTACAATTCGTGACAATCATTGAAATGTCCCTTGATCAAAAGCAGTTGAATTTAAACGGAATCATAAAGACCCTACAACTTGTCTATTATCCTGCACAATTAGATCCTCTTTGACAATCGGATCGCACGAATTTCTAAAGGAAATTGTTCGTCCACAGCAATAGCATTGAGGCGTAAGCCGCTTTTTCTCTTCAAGATACATAAAAGAAGAAACGAAAACGAAGAAAAAAGTATCTTCTTCTTTTCTGAATTTCTCAAGATGGAAACGAATACCTTGGCAACGTCCAACGATGCATAAAAATCTGCTACGTTGTCCGCAGCGCCAACTCTAAATTATCACGATAGCAAAAGAGGAAAGCGAAGAGAGTATAAGAGAGGACAGAAAAATAGTTCGATAAATAGGATAGATAAGAGAGGGAAGCGAACAAGAGCAAGAAAAAGAAAGAGAGAGAGAGAGAGAGATAGGTAAATTGGTTTTTTACATTCAGAGCTGGGTTACATAAGAACGATAAATTACAAATGCATGACGCTTCCCCTGACGAGAAAAGTTAATATTCAGACTGAAGATTACTTTGCGATCCAATGAAAATGCGCAGATGGCTATTTGAAAATCTCGCGAGGGTCTTGACAAGTTTTTTCTTGCTTTTATGGTTTAATTTGTAATTTGCTACTTATGAACGTCGCTAAGAAAGTAATGATCCAAATAAACTTTCCCATTTTCTTTTCGTCAAAAAAAAAAGAAGTAAAAATTAATATTGATTACAAAGCATTAAAAAAATGAATCAATTTTGATGAAAATGTTCAAATCATTTTAAATAAGCGCGCTTTTTCTCGCCAATGAGAAAATTATCGTGACGCAAGCGCAGTTGCGTTTAGGCAATTTTGATTGCGTGCGCAACACATAAGAAGAGGGGATGAACCAATCAGAATGCGTTACCCTAACTTTCCACTGTGCACACAAAAAGAGTGCGTTTCATAGAACACATTCTAAAATAAACGAAAATATTTCAATATTTACCAATTGTAAATTTTTATTTTTAAGGTCGATTTACGTTAAAGAGATCAGCTTGAGAATAAAATGTCTATATTTCAGTAAATTGAAATGTCGCAAACAATATAGTTGAACATGTCGTTTACATATTTCACATTTATATATATATAACACAAGTGTGATATTCTCGCAGTAGAATAAATCTGGTCTAGTCAGGCGAGGTGATAGGAATACAGAAAAACAATATCACATCGTTCGAACGTATTTTCTTTGGCTACACAAAACTCGTTCTACTTCCTGCTGTGAAATCCCCTTTTCTGAATGCTCGTTCTTGTTGCATTTACACCCAATGTTCAAAAATTTATCCAAAAAGTAAAGTTTTTGGTAAAAAATTATTATTATTAAATATTGCATGAAATTCTCATATATGTGAGAAAATATAACAATTATCCGATTGTCATTTCAATTATCATGTGGTTCAATTTTTAAATTAATATTCTTTTGTTTAAAACGCGTAGAAAATGTAGAGAGAGAGAATTCAAACAGTGCTTAGCGCGCTTGAACGGTGAAACTTTGAAAAGTGGTTCATAATCCCATTACGCATGCATGGTTGGTTACTGTCGCCTTGTCATTTCCCAAAGGTCGTCGACGATGTAATTTCCTTTTCCCTTTGTGTGCAATTTATAGAAGTGTCTCTTACAATCTTGTTAACGTTCTTTTATCCAGACCTATTATAATCACAACCTGGATTGATTTTTAATGCAACTGTTGGAGTACCACTTTTGCAGAAGCTGTCAACAGACACTGCAGGAGATTTTAGTTTTATAAAAAAAAAAAAAAATTACAAAGAAAACTAATTACATTAAAGAGTTAACATTCAAAGCATTACCTTTTAAATCTTCTTTCTCGATTCTCAAAAATAAAAGTAATTCAGTGTTGAGACACAGAAAAGATTTAGCAAATCTTTTTCTCACGAATCGAAAAAAAAAAAAATTCGAAAGGCACGTGCGCAATATCGATATCCTGCGAGTCATTTTCGAATTGTATTTGGTGAAAGTGGGAGGAGGAAGAAGCTTTGCTTGGGGCTATTGCGAATTGCAATTCCATCGATAAGCAGTAATCGTCAAATCGAAATGGTATGCGCGCCAAACCCCGGGCGCGTTTATTGACGTTGCCAGGCTATTTAATGTCACGTAATTTGACGCTTTATGTGGAGTAATAGAGAAAAATAAGAGAAGTTCTATTTGTATACTAAAAAAAATGTTGAGGAAGGAAATTGAGTACTTATTGTATTTGCAAATAGGAGAAATACAGAAAAGAGAGAGAGTGAGAGAGAGAACGTTGTAAATGTGAGAAATACGGAATCCCAGTATCGATTAAGGGGTACGTCAAATGGATTATCGCCTTAACACTTGCACGAAAGTGATTTGTTGCAAAGGATTAAGTTCACTTCGAATTGCGAACGAGTTGCTCGTTCCCTAGTTATATAATCACTTTTTACTAATTTAACGCCTAGAGTCTCTTTGCACTCAATTCAAGTTATTATCGAGATATATTTTATTAGTGCAAAGAGTTTATTCTTCTTCTACTAATCTAAATATTATTTTAGTGTCACTACCCTGAAAATGTAAATTAATTCTCAAAGATTTAAAAAAAATGAAGATTTGTTACACTCTGTATTCAATTTTTTAAATCTTTTTTTGCGCCAGGTATTTTATAAAATTTCTGTTTAATTTTATGTACTGATTGTGTGACGGCAACCAGTTTTCTGATACAGTCGCACCTGTGTCGTATTTCCCCCACTCCAAACAACAGTAAAAATTATTTTAATTTTATGATTCAAATTTTTTAAACCTTTTTTTGCGCCAGGTATTTTATAAAATTTCTTTTTAATTTTATGTACTGCCTGTGTGACGGCAGTCAGCTTTCTGAGAGAGAAAATGTAAATCTAAATTAATTCTCAAAGATTTCAAAAAAAAAAAAAAATGAAGATTTGTTACACTCTGTCAGGGTCAGCGAAAATTTAACCATTTTTGGTAGTCTCGCGCACTATGCAAACACATTCGTAGCATTATGCATATAGCATTTAACGAGAGAGCATTTGTCTTCGTTGGACAATGTAGGTACGAAACAACCTCGCGCCACTCACCGACAAACCCGAAGTACACAATTTACCAATTGGTACTCTCCATTATTCGTGTTTACAGGTGCTGCCCGCGAATCAACATACTCGCCGTTATTTGCTCCGGTCAAATTCGCTCGAAACCCGCAGTAACTTTAAATTATATATATATATATATATATATATATATATATCGATTTTACTCGTTCGATCCCACTCAATACTGATGTATATCAAGTAAATTCAAAACCAGATCAAACAATTACCGTGTAACCAATTTTTTTTTATGTTTCACACACATCATTTTCCATTCATTCATAAATTTTATCCTTTCATTCTATAATTCACATATATTTGTTTTGTTTCGAATATAGTTTATGATATAACAAATTTGATATACTTATATATCCATGGAATTGAAAAATTTATCAAGTTTATATTTCGATGTAAAAAAAATTTTTTTTTTTTTAGCAAAATTGTGAAATGCAATTGTCAAGAGAGGATAGAAATGTTGAGATGAGGAGGAGGTGGAAATTGCAAATTTATGAAGTTTTCGGTAG